AGAACAGTTTCTTTGGGGGGGGATTGTTAGGGAGTTGGGGGACCTCCCCTGTCCCCATGTGGCCTGAAGTCCCCCCGCCCCCCATCACATCGGCAATACCAGGCGGGATGAGCTGGAGTGCTGATGAGAAGCACAGTAAGGAGAGGTTTCCGCGTGGGAGCCCGTGTTAGTCTGTATCAGCAAAAAGAACAGGAGTCCTTGTGGCACATCAGAGACTAACACATTTATTTGAGCATAAGTTTTCGTGGGCTACAGCCCACTTCTTCGGATGCATGGAGTGGAACATACAGTAGGAAGAGATATATATATAAACACAGAGAACATGAAAACATGGGGGTTGCCTTACCCACTCTTAACGAGACAAAGCAATTCAAGTGGGCTATTAGCAGCAGGAGGGAAGATCACTTTTGGAGTGGTAATCAGGATGGCAGATTTCAAAAACATTGGTAAGGCAACCCCCATCTTTTCATGTTCTCTGTATATCTATGTATCTTCCTACTGTATTTTCCACTTCCATCTGATGAAGTGGGCTGTAGCCCACGAAAGCTTATGCCAGGGATCGGCAACCTTTCAGAAGTGGTGTGCCGAGACTTCATTTATTCACTCTCATTTAAGGTTTCGCGTGCCAGTCATACATGTTAACGTTTTTAGAGGGTCTCTTTCTATAAGTCTATAATTTATAACTAACCTATTGTTGTATGTAAAGTAAATAAGGTTTTTAAAATGTTTAAGAAGCTTCATTTAAAATTAAATTAAAATGCAGAGCCCCCAGACCAGTGACCAGGACCCGGGCAGTGTGAGTGCCACTGAAAATCAGCTCGTGTGCCGCATTTGGCATGCGTGCCATAGGTTGCCTACCCCTGGCTTATGCCCAAATAAATGTGTTAGTCTCTAAGGTGCCACAAGTCCTCCTGTTCTTTTCACAGTAAGGAAAGTAACTAAAATACTTCCCTGAGAAATTTTCTAAACGGAGAACCTACCCTAATTCCCAATTACTGAGGGACACTCTCCACTCATTGATCTATTTTGCTTTCCCCAACCAACTCTCTGTAGAACTCTTCACGAGCAATGTACCCGAGTATTCGGATTCCAAACTGTATTGTTACATTTATTCACCTACATTTGGGTTATTGCTGATTAGGTACGCTGTGGATCATCTGAGTTTTAAAAGCAAACTTTGTATTTGTGGATAATCTAAGCATGACGTACAGATACGCTGTTCTCAGCCTATGTACTACATTTTTTTTTACA